AAAAAAAAAAAAAAAGATATAGCACTGACAAAATATATTAATACAAAAACGTAAAATAGGCTCGGCACCTGTGACTCAAGCAGCTAAGGCACCAGCCACATACACCTAAGCTGGCAGGATTAAATCCAGCCCGGGCCCGCCAAATAATGATGGCTGCAACCAAAAATAGCCGGGCATTGTGGCGGACGCCTGTGGTCCCAGCTACTTGGGAGGTGGAGGCAGGAGAATCGCTTTAGCCCAGGAGTTGAAGGTTGCTGTGAGCTGTGATGCCATAGCATTCTACCCAGGGGGATAGCTTGAGGTTCTGTCTCAAAAAAAAAAAAGTAAAATAATGCCTCCTACCACAACTCCACTCGATAAAATTATTTTATACCAAAATGACTAAATGTTGACACATAAAATTGCGTGTTAGATTCAATTCAGTTCCATCAGTGGTAAGCATTTACTCAGCAATGCTATGTATGAAGCAATCGGTTAGGTACTTGAGACGTATCAGCCTTCAAAGTTTAAATCATATCATCATTTCTGCGAACACTTCCATAGAGTTCAAACTGACTCTCTTCCTAGTTATCAAGCTCTGAAAAAAACTCCCATCTAGTATAAATTACCTCATGCAAGTATGGTAATTCATCTCTTGCTTTGTGGTATTCAGCCACACATTCTAAGCAGTAGCAGAGGTCTTCATCAGCTGTCTGAAATTCACTGGATTGGATCTTAGATGCATAGCACTTTAGGAAGTCAACGGTGGAAAGACCACCTGGTGTACACCAACAACACGTGCTCATTCTGCACCTGCAGCCAGAAAACATGACACCTAAAAGACTCAAGAAAAAAATTAACACTTCAGGTCTATTCTGTGTGACTAGGTACACTTCCTACTTGTGACCCTTGTCTTCTACTTAAAAAGTGCCACAGCCAGAACATTCTGCTGGCTAGCTTATCACTGACCAAACTCCAATCTGTGCCCACTCTTAAAAGTCTTATATTTGACACATGAGAAATGCAGCACTGTGTTTGTAATAAAGATCATAAGGCAAGATAAAGTTACGCGATAAGGATCAAAACTATATAGTACTTATGAAAAATACACAGAGATACAGAATTAATGTTTTCAAAGTACAGATTTTGAAGTGTTGTAATAATGTACTAGAGTCAAAGTAAAAACCTCAAGAATCCTTTCATATTTCTAGAAGCCACCGTTATAGAAATCTCTGCAAACATAAAAATTCATAAATATTGACCTGTGCCAATTAACAAAAACCCATATAGATATGTGAAAGAAAATGAATAATATATTTGGGAGTTCTCAAAGTTGTTAGCATCTAAGCATGGTAACTCACACCTAAGCTTAGCAGTTTAAGAACAGTCTGGGCATGGGCAGCGCCTGTAGTTCAGTGGGTAGGTCGCCGGTCCCATATCCTGAGAGTGGCGGGTTTGAACCCATCCCCAGCCAAACTGCAACAAAAAAATAGCTGGGCACTGTGGCGGGCACCTGTAGTCCCAGCTACTCCAGAGGCTGAGGCAAGAGAACTGCCTAAGCCAAGCACTCTACTGAGGGTGACAAAGTGAGACTCTGTCTCTAAAGAAAAAAAAGAACAGTCTGGGCAACATCATGAGATATTGTCCCTACGAAAAATAAAGTAAATCGCTGGGCACTCTGGCACATACTTGTAGTCCTAGCTACTTAAGAGGCTGAAGCTGGAAAATTGCTTGAAAATTGCTTGACCCCAGGCAAGGTTTACAGTAAGTTATGATCAAGCCATTGTACATAGCCTGGGCAACAGAGCAAGACCTTATCTCAAATAAATAAACAAATAATAAAAGTTGTTAGTTCCTAAGGAAGACTGACTTTTGGAAACAGTCCATGGAATGTGACCTCTTTTGCTATAGGTTAACTTCTCTATTTTCTTGTTCCTGGCTCCAATAAGATGGCACTTGACATAAAAGACCCCATGGGCTGGGATAAGAGACCCACAACTCTCTAAATATGTAAATACTACATATTTAATGTGGAATGTTTAAATACATGCTTCTCAAAAGGACCACTGCATCTAACCAGTACGGAAAATGTTGAAATTTTAGTAAGCTTCTAGACTTTGCTTTTATAAATGACCCTCAAACCTCTCTCCACTTTGGAGCACTGACTTCGTCTTTTGGTGTCTCTGTTCTCCCAAGTGACCAGCCTCAAATTTTGTACTCAAAAAACTCAGTATTTAATCATGTTGCCTGAATCTCATTATTAAGGCTGACAAAGAGAAGAATTTCCTTTTGTTTAGAAAGCTGATTCCCTACTCACTTGCCACAAGAAGACCAGCTTTACAGGAAATACTTCAACCTGTTCTACACACTGACCATCACAATGGGCTTTCAGCAAAGTAAACACCCTTTTTGCAAAAGACAATACTAAGCAATGGACTTCCACAAAATAGATGAATAGAACGCTTCCATACTTATCAGTTACCTCAATAAATGTCAATGGCTTGAACTCCCCCACTGATGATGCATAAATTGGCTGACTGGAATAAAAAACACAAGCCATCTATTTGCTGTTTGCAGGAAACACACCTCATGTCAAAAGACAAATTAAAACTTAGAGTTAAGGGTTGGAAGTCAATTTTTTACATAAACAAAATTCAGAAGAAAAGAGGGGTTGCAATCTTATTTTCAGATACATGTGGATTTAAAGCAACTAAAGTCAAAACAGACAATTGATGGTCACTTCATATTGGTCAAGGGAAAAATACAACAAGAAGACATTTCAATTCTAAATATTTATGCACCCAATTTAAATGCTCCTAGATTCTTTAAACAGACTTTAACTTAGTCTGAGCAATATGATAACAGGGGACTTTAACACCCTTCTCTCTAAACAGAAATTAAACAAAAATATTAGAGATTTAAATGAGACCTTAGAACAACTGTGCTTGATAGATGTATATAGAACACTCCATCCCCAAAATAAAGAATATACATTCTTCTTATTATCCCATGGAACCTACTCCAAAATTGATCATATCCTAGGACACAAAACAAACCTCAACAGAATCAAAATTGAAATTTTACGTTGTATCTTCTCAGACCACAAGGCACTAAAAGTGGAACTCAACACCAACAAAAATGTTCAACCTCACACAAAGGCATGGAAGTTAAACAACTTTATATGTTGAATGACAGTTGGGTGCAGGAAGAAATAAAAAAGGAAATCATTAACTTCCTTGAGTATAACAACAATGAAGACACAAGCTACCAAAACCTGTGGGATATAGTAAAAGCAGTCTTAACGGAAATTTATCGCTTTAGAAGCTTACATTCGAAAAACAGAAAGACAGTGCATCAACAAACTCACAAGCCATCTTATGGAATTGGAAAAAGAAGAACAATCTAAGCCTAAACCCAGTAGAAGAAAAGAAATATCCAAAATTAAATCAGAGATCAGTGAAATTGAAAATAAAAGAATCATTCAGAAAATTAATGGAACAAGGAGTTGGGTTTTTTTTTCTTTTTTGAGACAGGAGCCTCAAGCTGTCCCCCGGGGTAGAGTGCCGTGGCATCTCAGCTCACAGCAACCTCCAACTCCTGGGCTCAAGCGAGTCATCTGCCTCTGCCTCCCAAGTAGCTGGGACCACAGGCGTCTACCACAACACCCGGCTATTTTTTGGTTGCAGCCATCATTGTTGTTTGGCCAGCCCGGGCTGGATTTGAACCCGCCACCTTGGGTGTACGTGGCTGGCGCCTTAGCCACTTGAGGCACAGGCGCCGAGCCAAGGAGTTGGTTTTTTGAAAAAAATAAATAAAATAGATAAACTTTTGGCCAGACTACCTAGAAACAAAAAAGTAAAATCTCTAGTAACCTCAATCAATATGATGAAGGGGAAATAACAACTGATGCCACAGAGATACGAGATTATCTCTGAATACTACCAGAAACTCTATGCACAAAAATTTGACAATGTGAAGGAAATGGATCAATATTTGGAATCACACCTCTCCCTAGACTTAGCCTGGATGAAAGAGATCCCCTGAACAGACCAATTTCAAGCACTAAGATCAAAGAAACAATAAAAAATCTCCCAACAAAAAACTACCCTGGGCCCGGCGCCCCAGCCAGCTAGTGGCCGCCACACCTTTCGGCCCAGACTTCAGTAGACCTCACCAAAATGCCATCTCAGATGGAGCATGCCATGGAAACCATGATGTTCATGTGTCACAAATTTGCCGGGGATAAAGGCTACTCAACAAAGGAGGACCTCAGAGTGCTCATAAGGAGTTTCTGGGATTTTTGGAAAATCAAAAAGACCCTCTGGCCTTAGACAAAATAATGAGGGACCTGGACCAGTGCCGAGATGGCAAAGTGGCCTTCCAGAGCTTCTTTTCCCTAATTGTGGGCCTTACTATCGTGTACAATGACTATTTTGTAGTACACATGAAGCAGAAGGGAACGAAGTAGGCCGAACTGAGCAATTACTCTGCCCTGAAAAGTGTTCTCTCAAAGGATTGCTTCAGACATCTGCCCCACAGCTTCTCCCTGGGTAAGGATTTCATGAGCAGATCAGGATCCTTAGAATATATACAAATAAAATCCAACTCCCATTTGTCAAGCAGAAAAGAAAAAGTTAATTAAATGCCAGATGAGCTTTTGTTTTTTACATTGTTTGCATCCCTTTGCCCTCAATAAACATAATCCTTTTTTTAGTTCCAAATTTAACACAGAAAACAACAACAACAACAACAACAACAACAACAACAAAACTGCCCTGGTCCAGATGGCTTCACACCAGAATTCTATAAAACCTTCAAAGAAGAGCTTATTCTTATATTGCAGAAATTATTCCAAAAAATTGGGGAGGGCTCCGGCACCTGTGGCTCAAGTGGCTAAGGCACCAGCCACGTACACCCAAGGTGGCGGGTTCGAATCCAGCTCAGGCCCACCAAACAGCAATGATGGCTGCAACAACAAAAAAAATAGCCCGGTGTTATGGCCAGTGCCTGTGGTCCCAGCTACTTGGGAGGCTGAGGCAGGAGACTTGCTTGAGCCCTGCAGCTGGAGGTTGCTATGAGCTGTGATGCCACAGCACTCTACCCAGGGGGATAGCTTGAGGCTCTGTCTCAAAAAAAAAAATTGAGGAGGAAGGAATTTTCCCCAACATGTTCTATGAAGCAAACGTCACCCTGATATCAAAACCACTAAAAGACCCAACCAAAAAGGGGAACTTTAGACCAATTTCACTAATGAACATAGATGCAAAAATTCTCAACAAAATCCTAGCCAGCAGATTACAGTTTATCATCAAAAAAGTCATACATGGCTCGGCGCCTATAGCTCAACCGGCTAAGGCGCCAGCCACGTACACCTAAGGTGGCGGGTTCGAATCCAGCTCAGGCCCACCAAACAGCAATGATGGCTGCAACAACAAAAAAAATAGCCCGGTGTTATGGCCAGTGCCTGTGGTCCCAGCTACTTGGGAGGCGGAGGCAAGAGACTCGCTTGAGCCCAGGAGTTGGAGGTTGCTGTGAGCTGTAATGCCACGGCACTCTACCCAGGGGGGACAGCTTGAGGCTCTGTCTCAAAAAAAAAAAAAAAAAAAAAAAGTCATACATAATGATCAAGTAGGTTTCATCTCAGGGATGCAAGGCTGGTTTAATATATGTAAATCCATAAACATTATTCACCATTCAACAGAAGTAAAAACAAAGCCCGTTATGATCCTCTCAATACATGCAGAAAAAGCATTTGATAAAATTCAGCATCCTTTTGTATTTAGAACACTGAAGAGCTTAGGTATAGGTGGCAC